GAAAGGAAAGGAAATTGATGATAAAGTGTGGTGGCTGCTGACAGCCCCGGCACAGCTCCTGTCCCTGGTCACCAACGCAGCCCCAGGAGCGGAGAAGGAGCCCCAGATCCCATGCCAGGGTGGGGAGGTGAACCCCCAGAGCAGAGCCTGGCACGGGCAGTGCCCATCAGAGCCTGGCACGGGCACTGTCCATCAGAGCCTGGCACGGGGAGTGCCCATCAGGGCCTGGCACGGGGAGTGCCCATCAGAGCCTGGCACGGGCACTGTCCATCAGCCTGGCACGGGCAGTGCCCATCAGCCTGGCACGGGCACTGCCCATCAGAGCCTGGCACGGGCAGTGCCCATCAGCCTGGCACGGGCACTGTCCATCAGAGCCTGGCACGGGGAGTGTCCATCTGAGCCTGGCACGGGCACTGCCCATCAGAGCCTGGCATGGGCACTGTCCATCAGAGCCTGGCACGGGGAGTGTCCATCTGAGCCTGGCACGGGCAGTGCCCATCAGAGCCTGGCACGGGCACTGTCCATCAGAGCCTGGCACGGGGAGTGTCCATCTGAGCCTGGCACGGGCACTGCCCATCAGAGCCTGGCATGGGCACTGTCCATCAGAGCCTGGCACGGGGAGTGTCCATCAGGGCCTGGCACGGGCACTGTCCATCAGCCTGGCACGGGCACTGCCCATCAGAGCCTGGCATGGGCACTGCCCATCAGAGCCTGGCACGGGGAGTGCCCATCAGAGCCTGGCACGGGCAGTGCCCATCAGAGCCTGGCACGGGCAGTGCCCATCAGAGCCTGGCACGGGCACTGTCCATCAGAGCCTGGCACGGGCAGTGCCCATCGGTGCCCTCTGTGCCCCCAGGTGCTGGCCACCGACATGTCCAAGCACATGAGCCTCCTGGCTGACCTCAAGACCATGGTGGAGACCAAGAAGGTGACCAGCTCGGGGGTCCTGCTGCTGGACAACTACACCGACCGCATGCAGGTGGGGCAGGGCGGCCCGGGGGTCCCCAGGGGGGGTTCAGGGGGCCTGGGGGGGGTTCAGGGGTCCTGGG